ATTTTTTAAACGTCGGTTAGAACGTCTCCATCCAAAGAGAATATAATCACTACGTTTATCCATCAAATGAACTATAACCTGACTAAATATAAAAGTGAATCAACTGAACTATTTTATTCATACAACTAATTTTAAAATAGGTAATGTTGTATTTATCTTATAATTGAAAAATCAGCCCAGAACGGGTGCAAAGAGCACTGCTGAACTCTCTGCTCGAGCACTTTTTTATATAAAAAAAGTACCTACTGTTCGGAAAACTTACGTGTAATGCATGGGACGGTACTATCGGTTAACTGTACAATTTACAAATATAACAAATAATAGAACTGTAAAGTTCCGTGCTTTTACACTCAATCATCACCACCTTCATAAATTGTATTGTACATTAGGAATCATTTATTTAACTAACTTACACAAGTTTAATTATTTTAAATCTGATCTGAGATATTCTGAAATACAGGATTATTTCCAGTTTAGGGATAGCCAATTCATAATTTTTTTGACTTTAAATAAATTTAATAAAGGTTATTATTATTATTCAAAGGTAAAATAAATAGAGTTTAATATCACCTTATCCATACGTGCCTCGATTGAGCAGAATTTTTGAGGTTTGGGGAAGAAAAATCTGCCACGCTGTTATAGTGCATGTTTGCAACATCACAGGTCCTTGAAATATTTTTTATAATTCAATATTTACTCACCATATTTAGGTAGCATGCAGTAAAAGATTTATTTTAACTTTTTTATTGGGTGAAATGTCTTATGTCCTAATATTTAATTTTGCTGCCTAGTCGTATAATATCTTCCATTGCAGTTTTTCGGTTTTAAAGGTATGTGAGTGGCAATCCATATTAGTCTACTAAAGTATGTACATCCCCGTGTTGAGCGTAACACATTTTTAATACAATATAAAGTAGATATTACGTTGAAAAATTTCTTCTTTTTTAAACATTTCTGTAAAAAACGAGCTAAGGAGCTTTAGAACGCCACTTCTGCAATTCTATAAATGGCATGTTTATACTGAAATTTTGCATGTTTGGGACAGATTTAATGTAAAACTATATTTAATAGCTGCAGCGCCTACAGCACCATGTAAAAAAATTGAGATCTTTATTTTAAAATTATGGAAATCTTATAAAATCAGTATAAAGTTTAGATACTACAAGAAAAATGAAAATTACATTTCTGTTTATATCTAATTTATTACGAGTATTTTAAAGATATTATATTTTTCATAAGGTTAACTTTTAAGTTTGAAAATCTTATTTAGTAGGTACTGAAATATTCACGCGCGTTTTTATTAAAGGTAAAAATTACTTATAAAATAATTTGAACACAATAAAAATTATGATTAACTGATTCTATTATACTGCCGATAACATAAAAATGTTATTAGCGAATTAGGTCATATCATGTAATATGAGATTGAAACAGGAACCTTTACGTCACGCGGCGATAGCCAGGCCATTCATAATAATTTTATTTGGCTTCTCGGCTTTGGTGACAGATATTGATGAAGTCTCACCGAGACCCTCATAGATTATATAGGCATAGGAATACGATGTCATAGATACTTAAAAGCGACGAGGGAGTTTTACTTGATTCCAAAAATACAGACAATACAAAGTACATCCGCAAAATATAGCCACTAAGTGTAATATTACTGTGCATTGAAATTTTTTAGAATATTGACCCAAAATAAAAATAAAATATTGATTGAATTCAGTAACGATGTCCTTTCAAGGAGGTAACGGGAAAATAATTAGAAATCGGTGAGATTTAAGTCGGGACTGTTGGTTATCTGTGGTAGCGTTGCCACGTAAATTTAAACGGGTAGAAAAAAAGCTGGTCAAGGCGAAGACAATGTTTGCTGACGCGTTGTCATGGTGCTGCAGATATCTCATCGGAGTCAACTAAGCTCCGTATAACCGTCACCTCTTACTACTTTTTATATAATACTTATTATAAGCGAGTGCTTACAACTTATTACAAGCCAGTGATTATAATAAGTACATATAATAGAAAAAAAGTTGATTGACACCACTATCGGTCCCGGTGGGTTATAATAACGTGTAAAACATTATTTTTCGGATACACTATGAACAATATTTTTTTTTTTTTTTTTTTTTTTTTTTATAGGATAAGGGTGAAAAACGAGCACACAGTCCACCTGATGGTAAGTGGTTGCTGCGGCCCATAGACATCTACATCTATCCTCTGTTACAGATTAAAATGCAGATGCGTTTTCACCCGTGAGGACTAAGATGGAATGCCTCATTTCCAGTAAAAATATTCTCATATGATTACATTAGTTACCACACGTACTTCAGCACGATTGGGGAGATTACTTTACCACTCGACTTGTGGCCGTGTGTATTCTAACAAAAAGTATTATTTTGCGAAACAATGAATGTTAAATAATCCTACGTGTGATTATTACTAAAGTAGCAGAGCAATTTCAAAAATTGTACTAAGAAACAGTCAACTACGTGGTAGAGCCATGCTGCAGCTGTATTATGGTTGTAGCACGAATTGGTCGGCTCGACCGGGGAAGGACCACGCTCTCACAGAATACCAGCTTAAAATGGCAGCTTAACGCTGCTGTGTTTCGTATGGTGAGTGTAGAGAACCCGAGACCCTTTTTACTGGCAAAGAGGCATTCCATCTTAGTCCTCACGGGTGACAACGTATCTGCATCTTGAGTCTTTATTGAGGATAGATGTAGATGTCTATGGGTTACAGTCACCCGATCCTATATAAAAAAAAAGTCAAGAAACAATTTAAAAAAAGTTCAAATTCTAGTTTTGTATGTTATAATATACCACATAAACAATGTTTGTTTGTTTTTAGTAGCCTGTAAAGTTGACAATTAATAGATAGGACTAATTCTCAGTTCACATACGATATAATATAAAAAAAGTTGATTGACACCACTATCGGTCCCGGTGGGTGATAGAGCACGTTGCAACGTACAGTCGCTTTATAACAAAATGTAAAACATTATTTTCCGGATACGCTATGATAAATATATTATATAATCTGTATATTTACCATGTTTTATGCAAATAAAATTATTATTATTATTAATATTTGTGTAATTACATTAGTTACCGTTACCGCTACAACCTATTAAGTGTTCAGTGTTGAACATAGGCCTTACCCATATATTGCTTCGTAGGGATATATTGCCATAGCTGCCATGCGTGATGAGCGGGTTTCCTGGTTTATTTTCCTCTATCTTCTCTTACGACACCCACGAGGCGATATGGTGTAGTGGATATTCTTACACCACCACTACATGGTCATGAACATTTACTATTTACTAATTTATGTAATATACCTTTAAGAAATAAAAATATCCATTTTCGATTTTCAAATTTTTGTCTACTTCGAAGTTTCAATTTATACTATTTATATTTCAGGTTAAAAAAAATCATTCCTCAACCCCTTAAATTAGGGGATAAAAGTGTATAATATGGGGCTTTCGTCAGGTTTCAGAATATTACGTATCGCCCTCATCTATCGCTTATTATAAATAGTAAAGCAACAAAGAAAAAAAAGCAAAGAGTGAACTATGAAAAAGGCACCCCTGACGCGCACGAAATAAACTCCAAAATAGAAAGAAAACATGAGCAAAATAATTATATCAAACATGAGCAAAATTATTATTGTCATAAGCAATTTACAAAGACAAGTGAAATCCTACCAAAAACATTTTCATGTAAAATGTTGCCAAGACGAGGCCATATGTCTCGCACTGTCAAAAAGTTATCAGATCTCATGTAGAGCCAAGCATCTAACTCTACAAGCCCTAACTTCACAAACTCCTTAGTCAAATTATGTGGCTTGGCCGTTTCGCTACCGTCACATGGGCGTAAGGTGAAAAATTTATTCACTGTTCATTACTGGCCGAAATGAAGAGGCAAGGGGCAGCATCGCCAGCAGCAGTAGTCCACCTCACTAGCAGTAGTCATCTACAGCATCGTAGTAATGAAAAAGCCAAACCACATATTTTGACTAAGGTGTGTTTGCGAAGTTAGGGCTTGTAGAGTTAGGGCGTGTAGAGTTAGAAGCTGACAAGCTACATGAGATCTGATAACTTTTTGACAGTGGGAGCAAAATGATCTCGTCTTGGCAATATTTTACATGAAATTTTTTTGGGTGGTATAACTGTTGTTCTTTATAACAATTTAATCGATTTTATTACATTCCCCCATGCCTGAATATTTTTCGTTAAGTTTCTCTTGAAGCGCTTATATAAAAAATACCGTAGGTAGGGTTATCGAGTTTTAGACCTACAGTTAAAAAAAATATAAGTATATAAACGACATTTTATTTTATTTCGTACAATAATAAAAAATACTTGATAAAAATTCAATTAATTAATTATTTCATAAATAAAAACTCCAAAATAGGTAGCGTCCGGTATAAGTAAGCGAGTTGCATAAGCGATACTACGACATTACTGATTTATCGTTTTAAGGTCTCTCCCCACTAAAACCTTTAATCCCAAGAGCGTAACTATATTCACAAATGCAAAAAATATTTTTACATTTTAATTCTGTTTCTTTGTTTTAATCTCAACATACATAGCTACATACGAGTACATACATTAAATTCTATAAAAATCCACTGCTGCACACAGGCTCTCCCCCTAGACTGCTTAATTTTTTTGAGTTTTTGCCAATGATTGGCAGGCGGCTTGGCAACCGCAGTTTTTTATTTTCTGTGTTATCAGGAAGATCTCCTGTTTTACTTTCCCTATGTCGTCTCTTACGACACCCATCGGGCGATATGTGTTGGTAGATATCCTTACACCGCCATTTCATGGTTTGGCTGCCTTAGTTTAGTAAAATATTTTTATATTCTCACCGTTGCTCACCGCGCACTTAATACACCATTATTATAAGAACGTGAGCTAAATCATGAAGGGATTTTCAAATCTTTCGAAAACTTCTTTTGCACCAATTCCTTATTTTTATTTATTTTTTTCGTTTCAGGTCGCCTGCTGTTTGCAACTGCCGATTAACCAAGGTACGTAATCGATTATATAAGTTAGGCAGTCATTAGAGGCTGTCAAACAGCGGTCAGACGTGGTACCGTTTTTACGCGCCTGTTTCCGTCATTTCGACTTAAAACAGATATTCGACTTTTTTCGCTCACCGCGCTGAACTAGGTTAATTAGAATGAGATACTTATTCGTTCTGTCAATTTCACTCTACTGTAGATTGAGTTCACCGCCAACAATTCTTCTATCAAAACCTATAAAATAATAAGGTACGTAAGGCTATTATGGTCACCTTAAGCTTTGCCGCCCTATAAAACCAAAACTATGAGGTGGACAGAGACAAAAACACAAAGTCGTATACGACGAGTATAACTAATATATAAAGAAAAAAAATAGCAAATGAACTTTTGTAATAATTAGGGACAATTCGAAAAATCAACATAAAAAAACAACTAACTGTAACAAATATCATAAAAAATCGACTAAAACATTTACGTTATGTATGTTAACTGCCATAATCACGTTGATAAAGCAGGGCCCTTTATACCTTTTATTAGTTGATTGACTGATGAAGAGCTATCGTTTCACAAAACCATCTATAACAAAGCTGTAGTTTTTGAGTTATAAGAAAGTGACCATATTAACCGGATGACCATATTACCCTCACGTACTATAGTTAGGTTATGTTTTCACTTTTTTTCGGTTAAGATATGTTAACTAGCTGGCTCAGCAGACGTTGTTCTGTCCTTACAAATAAGAGGCGCGATGGGTGAAAAGAAAAAGAAGACAAAACGCGATCTCTCAAATTCGCTACAGACTTTTTACATTTAAAAATTTATATTTGCACGTGGTGCTGCAGCTATATTATTGGTATAGTTGTAGCACGAATGAGTCGGCTCGACCGGGGAAGGACCACGCTCTCACAGAATACCATCGTAAAATAGCAGCACAATGCTGCTGTGTTTCGTGTGGTGAGTGTAGAGAACCGGAGACCCTTTTTACTGGAAATGAGGCATTCCATCATAGTTCTCACGGGTGACAACACATTTGCATTTCGATTCGTAATCAAGAATAGATGTCTGTGGGCCACAGCAACCACTTACCATCAGGTGGACTCTGTGATCGTTTGTCACCCTTATCCTATAAAAAAGAACACACGACCACAGTGCTACTTATTGGAGCCAGATTTCGTTAATTTTGGCGCTAAACCATTATTAATCTATAAATATAGAATTTGCGGATCCTATCCATAAAACATCGTCTTGATAAAACAAACATTTTGTGTAAATATGACATCTATCGATCAAGTCGTTCAGAAGTTACATAATCGCTAACAGAAACAGACACACTAACAAAATATTTTTTTTTAATTTAATATCCTGTATTCCATTAAGTAAAATCCTAGTTTTTATATTAAATGCCAACAACTTTACATTACGATAACAATATTTCATAACATCGACTAAATTAGTCTCTGGTTTTTTCTACCTAGGACTTTGACTGGGTAGGTACTACCCTCTTACGTATTTCTGGCATCAAGCGTCAGTGTGTGGATTGCTGTCCACCGCACCGGTCTTAAAAGGTATAATTAAAAGTGAAATGTAACTTTGTTTGTTGGTTAAAATTTTTATTAAAAAAATTACTTTATTGACTTTTTATTTGTGTATGGTCTAAGTAATTTGTTACAAACTGAAACAAGAGACGGTCGGCAGCATCTTTTGATCAATAAAACAACTGATGAACAAAAACTGCGGATGCCAACACGCTTGACAAGAAACTATGATTAAATCCCTCCCATGAGACAATTTATGGGTGAGGACTATGTTCTTTTGTGTGTAGTGGACTTTTCATAGACTGTAATGAATGAATGAATGAAAAAGTATTTCCATTTCGACATTGCGAGAGATTATGTAGCAAAACAAATATTAACAAATATGATGAAAAGTTGCTCTTGTTCATCATCTCATAAAAGTGAAAGGGACTGGAAATGAGCCTCTCCCGTTATGGGATTCACGATCGGAGTACCAGACTTTCGCATTTTTCTTAGCTTCATCAAATTACTAAATATGATAAAGTTAACATATAGCTAATTGATATTTCTACTGTTTTATAGATTCTGAAACAGGAACGTACTTTCCAAACTTTACTTTGCGTTTTACTAGGAGTTTTCTTCCTCGTACAACTTCTCTGTGGAATTGTTTACCACCGGCGATTTTTCCGAATCGATACGACTTAGGGACCTTCAAGAAAAGAGCTTACACCTTTCTAAAAGGCCGGCAACGCATCTGCAATTCGCCTGGTGTTGCGGTTGTTCATGGGCGGCGATAGTCACTTACCATCAGGTGAGCCGCCTGCTCGTTTGCCCCTGCTTCTATAAAAAAAACAGCCACCTCATGTTAGCAAAATGAGACGACGGTTCACGATACAATGAATACATAATAATATTATAATCTTAACAATGTTATTCATTTCCACATCCGATACTCTATTAAATTTCCGCCAGTCGCCCTTGGAGCTAATCACACAATATTCGAACGTAGGTAAGTGCTGAATTGATATATTGTTCGCTTCGCGGTCAGGGCTCACTACCTGTGCGGTCAGAAGGGCGAACTATTGCCGCCACGTAATGCTAATGTATTATGTATTAAAACGCTATCGTCTGCAATATATTACATCCTTTCTCGTCCCGCCTTGATATAAAACATGTGACCTTCTATCTCCAGATTTAGGAAATTGTTACGTAAAACCTTGCTCTATTTTCCTTTATTTTTATGAAAATCTAAACATAAAAACACACTATTAAAATAAAAACATACGTGAGTGTATTGGAACACTCGGTTGGAACGAAGTTCCTTTCGTAGTATATTATTATTGATAAACGTATTATAATATTTATTAACAAATACAACTAAATGCATTACTAGCGTCTATTAAAATGAAGCGTCATCTATACATCTATACAAATAAATAAAATTGAAGTGTCTGTTTGTATTGTCGAAATTACAGTTTTTTACTAATTGTATATGAAAGTATATACGGTATTTAAAACAAAAACACAATTTATAAAATTTTTGTCTGTCTGTCTGTCTGTTTGTTTCGGCTAATCTCCGAAACGGCTGGACCGATTTTGACGGGACTTTCACTAACAGGTAGCTGATTTCATAAGGAGTAACTAAGGTTAATTTTATTTTAGAAAAAGAATTAGGGTTCCGCGCAAAAACATAAAAACCCTAACACGCGAGCGAAGTCGCGGGGAACAGCTAGTTTAAAATAATATTTCTCTCATGGCCAGATAAGAAAGTGCGAGGGAGATGGATATTATTCCATCTCGCTCGCACTATAAAAAGGGAGTCGTGACGGAAAAATCTTACACTTTGTCTCGCCTAGCCAAATTCGCCAAATTTCCGCTAAATTCGTACCGTGCGATAAGGAACTTCGTTCCAATAATCTTATCCCACACTAGATATTTTATCTGTAACGAAGAGGTATTTCAAATACCTAAGTCGCATTAATACAAATATTTGGATCTGGAACAGTTATATTAGTTGGCCATACCAATCTTGTCCATGTACGAACGAAACCAGCGGCATACGGACCGGTAGCCAAATGTTTTGCAACAACGTTAAATATTGTTTAAATATTGATTTAAGTCGACCACAAAGGTAAAGTAATACATAAGATACGGGTAAGCAAAGAATAGTATTGTTTGCAAGTACACTGGTAGCTTAACGTTGATTCCATTTTGACTATGTCAAGACGTTTTTTTTTATAGGATAGGGTGACAAACGAGCACACAGCCCACCTAATTGTAAGTGCTTGCTGTGACCCAACATCTATCCTCAATAAAGAATCAAACTGCAGATGCGTTGTCACCCGTGAGGACTAAGATGGAATGCCTCTTTTCCAGTAAAAAGGGTCTCCGGTTCTCTCCACTAACCATACGAAACTCAGCAGTGTTAAGCTGCTATTTTACGCTATTATTCTGTAAGAGCGTGGTCCTTCCCCGGCCTAGCCGACCCATTCGTGCTATAACTATACTTCTAATTTAGCTGCAGCATGGCTCTACCACGTACAAAAGTATAATTATGTAAAATTGCCTTACGTATCACATTCCCAGTTACAATTTATTTCTTTTTTTATGTGAGTGTCCCTGAATGTATGTATGTATATATCCAAACACGGCTTGATGGATTTTAACATAATATACGAGTATGATGTCGTTAGATTGATAGTTTCGTTTTACCTGTAGAAGTGACATTAGAGTGTAAAATTTGAAATATTCTCTTTTTAGTAAATGTTTTACGCAGTCAATTTTTTTCAATACTGTTTTAATCATTGGGGCTTGTATTCATAGATAAATTGCGTTTTGTATAATACAATAACGATCCGTCTACCACATCGGCATGTTACCAATATGAAACCTTTTTTGTTCTGAACCTCTTCAATATCTTGTGTATATCTTTTGTTTCCACCAATCAAGCTTAATGATAAGAATTAGGCATCAATTTGCTCCATGTTCTATTATATCTCGTTTTTTCGCCAAGTAATCGTCCAATTTGAGTTCTACCATATAAGCTATTTGGTTAATTTTCCTTCACACTAAACACTTTATTGACCTCTTTTCATGACGAAATTGATTTTCTAATTTCTGGCCCACACAATATCAATGTAATTATTATAAGGGTTGGCTTTATTGTCATGACTGCTTTCTAAGAGCGGTATTTTTATATCTCAAAAGTAGTGTCGTGTCTGTATTGAGTTTCTTCTAGCTGCTATCACCATCATTATCAACAACAACAAGAGGCCGTAAAAGTTTTTCCGTTCACCACGCTTGGTAGGCGTCTCGTACCTTTGACACATACACACAGACACGCACACACACACACACACACACACACACACACACACACACACACACACACACACACACACACACACACACACACACACACACACACACACACACACACACACACACACACGCACACGATACACACACACACACACACACACACACGCACGCGCG